ATTGAAAAGGCAAGCAAGTCAATACAGGCCATACATGTGCAGTTATGCAAAACACTTCCATAGTAGACATGTTGTGAAAAACTAATTCTATTTCCCTTAATCCTATCCTGCCCTCCCCCCATTTATTCTATTCTTTCTTTTGACCCTGTCCCTCCTCAGAAGTATTTCCTTCTGATTACCCCTTTCCCAATGTGCCCTCATCTCTGTCATCCCCCTGCTCTCTTGTCCCCTTCCTCACCTATTTTCCTGTAGGGTAAGACAGATTTCCATATCCAATTGAATGTGTATGTTATTCCCTCCTTAAGCCAAATCCTATGAGAATAAGATTCCCTCATTTCCTCTCACCTTCCACTGTTTCCCCTCCACTGTAAGAACCTTTTCTTGTCTGTTTTGTGTAAGATAATGTACCCCATTCTACCTCTCCCTTTCTCCTTCTCCTAGTATAATCCTCTCTCACCCCTTAATTTTATTCTCCAGGTATCACCCTTCATCTTTAACTCACCCTCTGCCCTCTATCTATCTATCTATCTATCTATCTATCTATCTATCTATCTATCTATCTATCTATCTATCTATCTATCTATCTATCCATACATACATATATATAATTTTTCCCTCCCACTACCCTAATACTGACAAAGGTCTCATGAGTTATAAATATCATCTTTCCATGCAGGAATGTAAACAGTTCAGTCTTAATAAGTCTCTTATGATTTCTCTTTCCTGTTCACCTCTTCATGTTCCACTTGAGTCTTGTATTTGAAAGTCAAATTTTCTATTCAGCTCTGGCCTTTTCATCCAGAATGCTTGACTGAATGACCATTTTTTCCCCTGAAGGATTATACTCAATTTTACTGGGTAGGTGATTCTTGGTTGTAATCCTATAAGATAAGAGTTCTTAAGGGATGTTTGTTTCCTCTCCTCATACTGAAATGTTAGCACCGTGTCGTTATATAGCTCCTTTTAATTACTCAAATAAATTTACCTTTCTAGGTTTCTCTTTTATGTTTTCAATTTCAAAGTTCCTTTTCGGTTTTGAGCTTTGTATCAAGTCCTGTAGGCTATTGTAATAATCCAGGTGTGTGTGTGAGGTGATGAGGGCCTGCAACAGGGTGATGGCAGTGTCAGAGGAGAGAAGGGGAGCATATTATGAAAGCTACAAAAGTGAAATCAACAGGCTTCAGTAATAGATTGCATATGGGAAGGGGGAATAGTGATGCGTTGAGGATGATACCTAGGTTACAAGTCTAAGGTTAGGAGGATGATGGTGCTCTTAGTAATAGGGAAGGTGGGAGGTGGGGGAAAAGATTTAGGGGAAAAGATAATGAGTTCAGTTTTGTACATGTTAATTTAAATTTGAGATGCTGCTGTTTGTCCTTCATTCTAGAAGAGGCCGTGACATGCAAGTGAATTGATTTAAGTGAGGGAGAGCTGTGCAAAGTCAGCAGCCTCATTTTCTCCTCTGCAGTCATCTGGGTCCAGTGGCCAGATATGGATCTGGATAACTGGAGATGGCCCAGGATGCAGTGGGGGATGTTGGCCTTTCCAAAGCTAAGGTCTTTAACAGGTCTTGGTTTGACTGAGATGGTGCCCATTCAGTGATTAAGACTTAATAAAAAATGAAGCAGAGAATGGCCTCTTTCAAAAATGATTTGGGAGGGGAAGATCAGGGTCACCAGCCTCACTTTCTCCTCGGGAGCCCTAAGCTGCTGCACCCAGTGTGGATGCCATGACTGAGTGCTATGAACTGAATCTGTGAGAGGGGGAAGGGACTTGCCCATCCTTGGCTCTCCCTCTTGTAGCTGGACTCCAAGAAATGGACCTGGGGCTGTGTTTCTGTTCTTTGTTCTTTGTCCTCAGCTTCAAATGCTGGAGGTGATACCCACAGACTGGGAGTTCAAGCCACTGTTACAATGGAGCCAGGAATTGGTGCAGCAGCAATCATCTCTGCATAGAAACCTTGAGAAGTCCTGGGAGTGGTGAGGGTGGGGGGTTGGACTTGGAACTGGGACTGTGCTCTAGGGGAAATGAGTTGAGCTATGAACCTAATGAACTTATGAACCTTCCCTCCCTAGGGACTGTGATAGTATACGGAGGAAGGAGAATTGTGCCTCCCACGTATTGGAGGGAGCATGTATATCTATGATGATCTTTTTAAAAAAATTAATTATTTTAGTTTTCTACGTTCACTTTATTTTTGAGATGCAATTTTATTTCTCTCTCCCTCCCCCCCTCCCCAAGAAGGCAAACAATCTGACATAGGTTATATGTGTACAATCATGTTAAACATATTTCCGTATTAGTCATGTTGTGAAAGAAGAATCAGAACAAAAACCATGAGAAAGAAAAAAACAAAAGTGAAAATAGTATCCTTTAATCTGCATTCAGACTCCATAGTTCTTTCTCTGGATATGGATAGCATTTTCCATCATGAGTCTTTTGGAATTGTGTTAGATTGTTGTATTGCTACTAAAAGCCAAGTCTATCAAAGTTGACCATCACACAATGTTGCTGTTACTGTGTATAATGTTCCCCTGGTTCTGCTCACTTCACTTAGCATCAGTCCATACAAGTCTCCAGGTTTTTCTGAAATCCATCTGATCATCATTTCTTACAGCACAATAGTATTCCATTACATTCATATACCACAACTTGCTCAGCCATTCCCCAATTAATGGGCATCCCCTCAACGTCCAATTCTTTGCCACCACAAAAAGAGCTGCTATAAATATTTTTGTACATGTGGGTCCTTTTCCATTTTTTATGATCTCTTTAGGATATAGGCCTAGTAGTGGTATAGCTGGATCAAAGGGTATGCACAGTTTTATAGCCCTTTGGGCATAGTTTCAAATTGCTCTCCAAAGTGGTTGGATCAGTTGTGATTATCCTTTGAAGCAAATATTCCTCTTTATGAAAGCTCTCTGGTGTTACATACCCTTCTACTAGTGCATGCAATAGATGACTATCTCTGAGCTGTACAGTACTTACCTGGATGCTATACTGTCCAGTCAAAACAGAGCTCACATCAACACAATTTCAGGGTCACTCTTTAAACTAGTATACTACAACACCATCTTTAAGAAGAGAGTGAGAGAAGATGAAGTGGAGACACCTACTGTAGACAAATTTTTCTTTTCTGGTTTCTTTCTTTCTTTTTTTTTTTTTGGCAATTGGGGCTAAATGACTTGCCCAGGGTCACACAGCTAGTAAGTGTCAAGTGTCTGAGGCCAGATTTGAACTTGGGTCCTCCTGACTCCAAGGCTGGAACTCTATCCACTGTGCCACCTAGCTGCCCTTGTAGACAACTTTTTCAAGGAATTTAGCTACCACAATGCACAGAAGAGATGGGGGACAATAGTTAGCAGGGATGGAAGATCAAGTGGGGGTTTGTTTTAGGCCAGGAGAGACATGGGCAGTAGGAAATGAATCGAGAGATGGAAGACTAGATTCACTTTTGAGAGTAAGTAAAGAATCTAAATGGCTTTGTATTGTTGGTCTAGGAAGCCTGTGGAAAGGCATAGAGATGGAAGATGAAAGGGTCAGTTACGTGTGAGGAATAGTATGGCAAATTTGGTTAGATAAGTTGGGTGCATGAAGAAGAATAAAGTTAAAATAAGGCTGGAAAGGTAGTTTTGGAGCCAGGCTGTAAAAACCTTAAATGTGAAACCGAAGGGTTTGTAAATGATATTAGCTAACATAACAGAGAGCTGCTGGAGTTTTATTAAAGAGGGGGAGTGATATGGTTATCTATGCTTTAAGAAAATCACTTTGACAACTCTGTGGAAGGTGGATAGCAGAGGATTTGAGGCATGACTGGTTACTGGATAGTCCGGGCAAGATGTGAAGGGCCTGAACTAAAGAGGATAGCTGAATGGAGTGTGGAGGAGGGGCAGAATGGGAGAAATATGGAAATGGAATTGACCGGGACTCGACAGCCGATTGTGATAAGGGGAAGTGAGAACTTGGTAAGTAATTAAGGTGTTGCAAACTTGAGTGAATAGTGGTGGCACCTGAAACCTGGCTGACTGGAAGGACAGTAATGCCCTCCAAAGGTAAAAGGGAAGCCCAGAACTTTTGGGGGAAAGAGAAATTCTTGGAGGTAATGAGTTCAAACAACTTCATTTTACAGATGAGGAAACCGAGGCCCAGGGGGTGACGTTCAGATTCACATAGGGCAGAGCAAAATTTGAACTCGAGCACTAAAATTCTAAATCCATTGCACCACAGCTTCTTTCCTCTAATGATGTTAGATTCACACATTTTGAGTTTGAGACACTCGGGGAACGTTCAGTTTAGGGTGCCTAGTAGGTAACCTTAGGTAAGGAGGGCTCAGAAGAGAGAAGAGAGCTGGATATGTAATGGTCGTTATCAGCTCAGAAATGATAATTAAATTTCAGGGGAAGCTGATGAGGTCACCAAGTAAGAAAATAGAGAAGAGGGCCAGAACATTGCTTTCCTCAGCTCTCAAGTGGACATAATGTTTTCAGGGTTATTAGGATTGTTTTGAGTAAAGCACATTGTAAAATAAAGTTTTTTTCCAAAAAAGTAAACTATAAGTGCAATTGTGGGTTCTCTAATTTTTCTTTTTGTCCACCAATCTCCCAATAAATTAAATTCCTCAAAATAAAAGGTCCTGAAACTCTGTCCTTCATTGGTCTAGAACAATCCCTCAGAGCTGCTCGCCACCAACAAATACACTGTATGTGCTCCATAAACTTGCCCAACTCTAGAGCTTTCTGCTTAAGACAGCCTCTGCCTGAAGGACCCCTCTCCCAGGCTCTGGAGCTTCAGTAAACAGTCCTGCCTGAGCCTCTAAGCCGCCCCACTCTGAGGAAGGGTGGGAGTGAAAAAAGCTCCTCCGCGAGGGCGTTAGAGAGGAGGAGGCTAGAGTAGGTGCCTTCGTCTCTGTTGGTGTGTGTTCGTTCCCCTGTCAGGCGATGTCCTCGGGCATCCCTGTATGTTCTGTGTCGTCACCAAGCCGGGGTCCTTGGCAGCACTCCGTCCGCCCTTATAAAAGCCGCCACCACCGGCGCTGCTTCTGTAGTGGTCTTGGTGCTCTGCGTTACCTCGGGGTCTTCTTCCTCGTCGCCTGCCCCCGTAGCCCACCGGGTCCTCTCGGCTCTGCCAGCTTACCCGCCGGGGTCCCCGGGGATCCGGAACCGTAAGTGGCCTCGGCGCCCGGGAAGGCAGGGTGGAGGAGGAGCCGCGGGGCGGCGGCCGGGTTGCTGCTGTGTGGCGGCGGCCTAGGCCTCGCCCGCTTCCTTCGGGGCTCGGAAAGCCCCCCATCCCCTGCTGGTCCTCTCAGCGTTTCCGGCCCCCAGAGGAGGCGGGGGCCCTACTCCGTTTCGTCCCTTGTCCCAGGCCGCTCGAGCTCCGACGTTAGCTTCACACGCCACAGGCCCGCCCGCTTCCAGGCGCTTCCTCGGTTTGCCTGTGTACCTGCTGCCGGGGTCCCCAGAGGCCCTGTCGGGCTCCCTGTGGTCCGCCTCCCTCCCTCCCTGCCCGCTCCCTCGGGGGGCCTGGGCTAGTTCTCTTCTCTCAGCGTGCGACCCTCCCCCTCCCCCTCCCCCAGGGTGCGTCTGCACCTCCCTCCCTGTCCTGCTGAGTCCGTGCTGGTTCTCTCCTCTGTGATGGGGCACTAATATGCGTCCCTTCCTATAAGTGTCCACCTTTTTATTCTTTCTCCTCTCGTAGGGATCTTCAGCTGATTATTGTGCTCTCCTGTGGGTATTCGGAGCTGGGTAATCCAGCCCAGCCCATATAAAAGAAGGGGGAGTGTGGGGTAGGAGGAGGGGGAGCGCTTATTTCTATTCTGCTTAAGCTCTAGACTTCCTTATTCACCTGCTGTGGAGAAGGGCTTAGCTTTTTCTTCTCCTGAAAATGGTCACGTTAGTAGGGTAGGAGCACCCTGGATTTTAAAACCGTTCTGCGTTTTGTTTGTTTGCTTTTGCAGCAAAAACTAAGTAAACAACATGACTGAGCTATCTCGAGAAGTTGGCCACATAGGCAGTGAAAGCAGAGTTTGTCGTTTTCTTAGGCGGTTTGTAGCTTCTAGACTTCAGCTTTGGATCACCTGGTTACTTAGTGAGGGCAGTGAGGCAAACAATTGCAAGATGGGTGGGGGGGGTGGATTGTTGGCGTTACTTGTTCAAGGCAGCATAGGTTTTGCCAAGTTGAGGTGATGACCGTAGAGCTCCCTCAGAGTAGGGTAGGAACGAGATCTGCAGTGTACCTAAGCTGATTAAACATTAAAAAATTATGCTTTTATGATCTGTCGGAGGGTGAATTGTTATTGAAAGTGTGGTAGAGAAGCAGGTGGAAAATATTTCTTCTGTATTTGATTGGAATTGCAAGACTTTAATGAAAATATTGTAAAACAGACAAAAAAAAACACTGTCCGTGTTCCAGTAGCCAAAATTTTTTCTGCTTTTTAGTGACAATTTTCATTAAAGCTCATGAACAGAATTGTCCTAAATAGTTTTGCAGTTTTAATTGCATTTTGCAATTTAAATTGGAAGTGTTACAAATTTTAAGACTCTGGCATTTACTTCATCTTAGTAATAGAATGCATGCCCATTTAGTCAGGAAAGGAATAAATAAAACAAATAGTATTCATAGACTTAAGGAGCCTAAATTAGTGATCATTAACATTAGGTGGCAAGTTTTCAGAGGATTCACTTCTCTGGAAATAGGGGTTTTTTTTGGGGGGTGGTGCTGTGTGTGGAGATGTTCTTTCCAGGCCTAATTACTAAATTGCTTTGAATTCTAGATTAACATCCCTTCAGTGCTATTTAAGAAGATCTTAAAGATCTTAGAGTAACCAGATATGTTTGAAGTTTATGACCAAGCACATTTTGCTAAAGACTTTTTTAGGTCTTGGACAGATGAAGGAACTTACATAAACATTCATATAAAATGTCAAGCTTATTGTGGTCCATGACATCTTGAGCCAAAAAATTTTTAACTTTACTTGTATATGCAAGCTAATATTTTAAAGCCTCCAGAATTGTCTCCTTTTTGGGCAGGCAGTTATTCTAAAATAGCCTTATTTAAGCCAGTGGAGTCTCTAATTTTGAAGTTGTTGGTATTTGTAAATCTGCTGCAGTAGAACTCGGCTCAGTTCCACTGGGCAGGGCTGGTTTCAGTCAATTCAGTCAATCCCCTTTGTTTATGAGGATAAGCAAAGACAGCTTTGGTAAGTTGAATTGATGTCTTCAAACATCCACTTTTAAGTCCGGGAATGAAATCTTTTCAAAATGTGCATTTTTTTCTATACAAATATTATATGTGGCTATTTTGCTGTTACTCAAAAAAAATTATCACTGCATTAACATTTGGTGTAGAGGAACTGGGTCATCATTTCCAATCTTTCATTTTCAACTCCACCTTTCAATTTTAAAGCTTACTTTCTACCAAGTTTGAGTCAGCTATAACATTTTTTTCCAGTTGTAAAATATGCAATGCATTTAATGAAATCTACAAATATACATTTTAAATTTCACATTCACATTTTCATTTAATGTGAGGCTTCACAGATGCTTAATTTTTTTTTCTAATCTAAAGCTAGAATCTTTTTCAGAGAATGAATCCCAGAGTAAGTCTTGGATATGAACCTTATGTAAAAGTAGGCAGAACCAAAACACATATACACACTGAAAGATAACACTAAAATGCATTTAACTGAGATAAACTCAGTGACATCATGTGTGCAAGGAATTTGCAGCAAGTAAGCTAGTGTAGCTGGATTGTAGGTTCATGGAGGGAGGAGAGTAATTGGGAAGTAGGAAAGGGTCAGGTTATGAAGAGCTTTAGATGTTAAACTGAGGATTGAATTTGTTCATGGAAATTAATAGGGAGCTACTGAATTTAATTGGGGGTTGGTTTGGGGAATGAGGTAGTTGATACAGTTAGGCCTAAAATTAACTATTTCCCTCGGTGTATAAGGGAAGGTTGCAGTTGTTGGGAAGGTGAAGTATTTTGGGGAAATAAAAAGTAGAGTCCCAGTAATGCTTAATTCATCAGGTATGCACAAAATAATTTTAAATTATGTTTGAAGAACATGGGGTGTGTGTGTGTGTGTGTGTGTGTGTGTGTGTGTGTGTCAAAAAATAGAGTTCTTGACTCTTCAGAGTAAAATTTTATTTAAAAATAAGATTTTGCCTAAGGACCAAGTCTTCTAGGAAGTAATAATGACATAAGCATAAATTCTTTTTGTTTACATACTGACACTTGATTACTGGTTTTTTTTGGGGGGGGCCTTTGATAACAGACTTGTTTTGTGGAACTAATTAAAAGTTCCTTGGAATTAAGTTTGTTTTAAAATTTTTAATGGTCTCAAATGCCTGAGTTTCTCATGTGAAAAAATAGCACCTGCTTGCTAAAATTGCTGTATTATTAGGGCAGGTCTGGGGTGAAATTTAAGCTCTTAAAAGCTATCAACCTCATTTTTTACCCTTGGCTTTTTCATTCAGGTGTGTGTGGTACTGCATTGGGACATATGTTAAATGAACATATGCAGCTCATTATGTCTGTTCTAAACCTATTTTCCCTGGCAAGACTTATGGGAAACTACAAGTTTGTCTGAAAGTTTTTTCAACAGATGTGGTTAGGTTGCATTGATAATCTGGCAGTAGTAAGTAATCAACAGAAGATAAAGGAAAAGTGTTTCGATAAGAGCATTTTCACAGATGTTTAGTTGTTCACTAGGAAAAGCTGTCTTTGGGTTGATTTGCAACCTATTTAGAAATGGTTTCTAAATGTGTTTTTTGTTGGAACTAGCTTAGGAGCCTAACACTTGTTAAAATGGATTTTGGGCACATATTCTGTTTTAAGTAATTATTTTAAATTAGGGGTGATGTTAATCCCATGTTCTGTAACCTGTCTCACCATGATGAATAATTTATGTGTTTTAGATGCCTTCAATTAAGTTGCAGAGCTCTGATGGAGAGATATTTGAAGTTGATGTTGAAATTGCAAAACAGTCTGTAACTATCAAGACCATGTTGGAAGGTAAGACTTACGTTTTATTTTCCCATCCAGAAGTTGGGTGGAGAAGACTTTCTTGTCAGCAGAGTGGAAAGTGGTAGTCAGAACATCGAATTGACTGTCAGGGATCTGTGTTCAAATCCTTTCTGTGACACTGACTTTGTTACCATGGACAAGTTACTCCTCACTGAGTTGGTTTCCTTGTTTGTGAAATGGAAAATCATACTTTTTAAAATCATCATTATTTCTCTCTATAAAATGGTAATCAGAAAAACGTTGTACTATATAATGTCAGCTTATAAGAAGGTTCTATGAAATATGAAAGACATGGTTGTTTTAAGGATAGTTTGATAAGAAATGATTTAGAAACACCAGTTATAATTAAAAACATTTTAAAGCACCTGCTAGGTACTGGAGTAAGCAGGGGAGAAGACAAGAGTGAACCTGTCCCTGCCCTTTAGGAGTTTACAACCTATGATGCAGAAATCATATGCAGAGTATATATAGAATACATTGACAGAGTTAGGGGGAGGAGAAATGAAGGGGGGAAGCCTGTAGCAGCTGGACTAGCAGATAAAGTAAGTCAAGACTTGGTGCTTTGAGCTTTAAAGGAAAATCAGGGATGTTAAGAATCACAATTGAGCAGTAGGGTAGTGTAGGTTAAATGTTAATATAATACATGAAAATTATGTATTAAAATACAAAAAATACATAATACAAATATATAAAAATTAAATGTAATATCTAATTTTTTAGAAGTATGTTTTTGTGTTAAACTTAATTAAGTTCTGAATTCTTGGAAGGACAGATCTAAAATAATACCCAGTATAAATTAAATTCTCCTGTTTGACATATAGTCACTTATCAGTATTATATTTTGAATTGATGAAGAATTTGGGAAGAAAAATATCTTTAAACTTAAAGAAATAAAGGTACTAATCAGTTCTCTGGTGAGAAGTGAGCTCACTTTTTTTTATTAGTCCCTTAACATTCTTTCTTTCCCCTCTTGGTGCTTCCCCCACCCCCAGTTGAATCTGGCAACTCTGTATGGCTTTACCATTTATTTATGGATTATCCTGCTTTGTTATAGTAGTTATACAATACTTCTAATTTTTTTTTCTTAGTAAGCTCTTGTGAAACCTCGTTTTCCCTATTATGATATGTTTTTGTTCTACTGTCCCTTGGACACTTTTAACATGTACAAAAATAATAAATGACTAAGCCAAATTTTGAATATTGTAATTAATGAAGAGTGTAATTTTTTTGCCCTAATGTGAAAGTCAGCAAATGGGTAGTTAAGAAAGGTGAGTATGGTTGGACTTTAGGAGATATAAACAGAAATACTTTAAGACTTGTTTGTTGCCTAAATGGTTCCTTTGGTAGAGAATGAAGCGTGCTTGATTTCATCTTAGTCATTGTCTGGAGCACTTTTAATAAAGTCTGTTGTATGCTACTCTGCAGTAGCTTTTGCCAGTGTAAAAGGATATGTCTTTTTAAGGCTTGTTTTTCCTTGGCATCCTATTACTGAAGTGAATGAACCAATTTAGTTAGGACTTAGCAACAATCAGGTTGTTCTGTTCTCTTTTAACAACAGAATTTTTCAAGGATTAGAGATGACTTGTTTTACGTTAATGACTTTGGTGGAATTCAGATGTTTGAGGATTGCCATTCTGTGAAACTAAAGATTTATTATTTCTTTCCTTGGTCAAACTTTTACACTTATCACACCGATTATGGGTTTTATATAACTTAGAAAATGGAATCACTTAGAACAATCAGAAAGTCTTGGCACGTGTATTTGGAGTGATCAAATTCATGTCTAGGGTGTGATAACGAAGAGTATTCAGATGATTTTAAAAGTTCTTGAAATTAAATAGCTTAAAAGAACTATTGTCACTTGATGAGCTTTTTTTTTTACTGTCTATGATTTAAAAGCGCTAATTTTGGATAGTGTAAATCCTTGAGTTTCAGTGCTAGAACAGCTAACTCTGAAACGATATAAGTCCTTGAATTTATAAATGCTAGAGGAAATGGTGTCTTTCATAATCATGAAATTAACTTTACTGTAAAAAAAAGTGGTTTTGTAACTTTAAAAACAAAAAACCCCAAAAGTTTATTTTAAAACAAGTGGCTCTTTGTTTGATCACCAAGTATTCTGTATATTTACTAATCTAAATCAATAAAGACAAAAGTTTGAGGAGTTCACTGCATACCTCATCTTTTTAGCTCTGGTAGCATAGATAGCACCTTGGTATAAACATAAAAGGAATGAAACTCTTTGAAATTCAGACTTATTTGAAAATTCTGGCATAAAACTTTATTTGAGTCTAATTTTGGTGCCATAGCTTCTGGGAATTAGGAATATATGGAACTATAACTTAATCACAAAGTTTTTGTGGTCATATGAGAAAGAACTAGTTGGCTTACTGTAAGAATTTCTTGTAGGCCATCTTAATATCATCAGATAAGAATTGTCCTTAAGACTTGATGGATGGGTTCGTGGAAAAGTGCCCCTGAATCAGAAACTTTTAATTTCTGTTTTCTCGAGTTAAAAAGCACATTTTAATCTTCAGTGTTTTGGACAACATTACAGTTGCTGCTTATAAATCTCAAAGAGGAGCTTAAGTTTTGAAAATACTGTAACTTTATTTTTGTAGATCTGGGAATGGATGATGAAGGGGATGATGATCCAGTTCCTCTACCAAATGTTAATGCAGCAATATTAAAAAAGGTAAGGCCTATTAATTATTCAGGTAACCACTAGTAGTGGTTTTTCATTTACAAAGGTTAGCTAAAGGTTCGGTTTCTAGTTGAATTGTTTTTCTGGTGTCTTTAACAGATCCATGAAGACAGTATGATAGGGATTTGGAGACAGATTTATTCAAATCCCAACTATTGTCCCCTAATATTTGTGTCACTTTGGGCACATTATTTTATCTCTTGACTACTTTACTTTTTTCATTTGATAAAAACAAGTTTGGATTAATACCTTCTGAGCCTCTGAGGTCTGTTAACCTTCTTGAAATTGTTTTCTATTTTGTTGCATTTTCTTTCCAAGTGTATCTGTTTCCTACACACAAAGTATGTATACTATAAGCTTTTCGAGGGCAGGGATGGTTTTTTTAAAAAAAAAATCCAGCTGTAAATCCAGGATTTTGATATCTTTAGGAATAGTCAATCTGTTAAGCCAGATTACAGCCCTTTCCCCTTATTTCCGTGAATTCTCATTCCATGTAGTCCTTGTCAGGTTTTGAACTGCATAGAGGATCTGTCTGTCCAGTGCGCTTAGAGGCCTTCTATTCTTTTAATACCTTGACATGGTTCGTTTCTATTTGGTCAGTAATGTGTTAAATGTTTCAAAGTATGAGTGAATTTGCCATGGCACAGGGCATCGTGTGTATATGTTTATGTATGTTGTGTGTGTGTGATATGTATAAAATCAAATGTAAAATCTCAAACTAGCTAGATTCTTGAGGATAAAATTTTATATTAAAAGGATGATTTTGCAAGGATAAGTCTTCCCAAAGGCTCTTGGGAAGTAATGGCTTACCAAGCTTGGATACATGTATGCTGAAGTGCTGACACCCAATGACTGGCATTGGGTCTTTGGTAACAGATTTGTGGGGTTCTGGTTGTTGGATAAAGAACTTAAATTGGGAGTATAATAATTAACTCTGAGGTTTTTTAGCATACTGTATGCTAGCTACCACCATAATTAATAATAAAGCATCATATTAAGTGCTTACTATGTGTCAGTACTGTGGGTAGGTACAGAGAATATAATGAATGAAACAATCCCTAGCCAAAGAGCTTCTATTTTAATGGAAGTGGTGTATGTGTGTATACACAAAATGAATATAAAGGTAAAATACATAGTTTGGGATGGAGTAAGTGTTTTGGCTTTGGTATGAGTAAGCCAGCTCCAGTGAGCAATTGAGATCAGGAAAGGTTTTATGTAGATGATGGTGCTTGAGCTATGTCTTGAAGAGAGCAATTTTCTGACATAGAGGTAAAGAGAGGGGAGTACATTACAGGTATGGCCAGTGCAAAGGCACAGAATGGGAGATAGAATAACACGTGTGAGAAACAGAAAGGCCAGTTTGGCTGGATCACAGTGTAGGAAGGCAAAGTGGTAGGCACTGTATTAAGTGCTTTACAGATATTTCTTTTGATCCTCACAACTACTCTGGGAGGGATGGTACTGTTACTATTACCATTTTATGGCTGAGAAAACTTGAGGGAAGACCTAAAGGTTAAATGACTTGCCCCAGGGCCACACAGATAGAAGTGTCTGAGTTCAGATTTGGACTCTGGTCTTTCTGATTTCCCAGGCACAGTGCTCTATAACCACTGTGCTCCCTAGGGAAATAATATGTGTGTTCAGTGAGGATGGAAGTATGGCTAGGGCCAGGTTGTGAAGGATTTTTAAAAGCTAAACAGTTTTATATTTGATTCTAGAGTCTATAGGGAAACTTTGTGCAGGGAATTTACACAATTGGATCTGTTAGGAAAATCTCTTTGGCAGCACTAGTATGGAGGGGTAGATTGGAGTAGGAAGATATCCCAAGAGACCAAGTAAGAGACTGTGTCGCTATAATCTAGGCAAGAAGTGATAAGAACCTGAACTAAGGTGATAGGGCTTGTAGGCCTTTTCTCTAAGGAGTTGGGTAAGGTAATGGTAGAAATGGCTGTCAGGATTTGGAAACTGATTTGGATATATGGGGTGAAGGGAGAGTGAGGAGTTGAGAATAATGCTGAGGAAAAAAATCTTGGGAGACTTGGTGTTTTCAGGAAAAAAAGGGGAGTGTGTTTTAGGGGCAAGGGAGAAGATGAATTGTTTTAGAGATGTTGAGTTTGAAACATACATATGTGCTAAGATATCCCTTAGCTACTTAGTGATTCTGCACAGAAGCTCAGTCAGTAGATTGGGGTCTATGGGTCTTACTAACTGATGAAGTCATGGAGAGAGAGAAAAGGGCCCAGAATAGAATCTTGGCAAACATTCAGAGTTAGGGTTTTGGGATATGGATAATGAAGCCAGCAAAGAGGATTGAGCGGAGAATTAGACTCCTCAGTAGGAGAACCAGGAGAGAGCAATGGTGTCATGAAAACCCAGAGAGGGAGAAAAAGGTGACCAGAGTCAAATGTAAGATGGATTGAAAAAGGATGGAGACTGAGAAAAGATTATTAAAGACACAATAATTAGCACCGGCTTTGGAGTCAGGAGGACCTGAGTTCAAATCCGGCCTCAAGACACATAACACTTATTAGCTGTGTGATTCTGGGCAAGTCACTTAACCCCAACTGCCTCACCAAAAAAAAAAAATCGAAATCATCGCTTTCAGTTGAGTGATGGAGGTTAGAAGTCAGATTGGAAAGGGTCTTGAGAAGTGAGAGGAAAGGAAGCATAGACAACTTTTTCTGGAGTTTAGCTGAGAAAAGGGAGGAAAACTTCATAGCTTGATGGCATAGGGAGGGCAGTTATCTAGTTTTGATGTGGAAGCAAAAAGGGGTTGAACAATATTGAGGGCCATATTCAAACCGTGACCAAAAAACTTGGTCAGAGCTTTAGGACAGCCAACATACTGTTCTGTCAGACCCATATTTTTTAGCCTTTTCAGTTTGTAGAACTTGCCAGATTGTGCAGACTGCTGGTAAGTAGCCTTAATGAGCCCCATATCACACTGAAGCATTGGAAAATGAGGCCTTCTGGGGAGGGGTTTTCCCTCAAGTTCTTTTAAAACAAAAAACTTTCCTGCTTAAGTTTGCATCAACAAATACCATTTTTCAAGTTCATAAGCATTGTGGCAATTATACTTTGTAGGATTTGAGGTTTTTATTAAATGACTCAAGATTTTTATTGAACTGGCATTTAGATTACAGTAAACATTTTGTTAGGTGGCTTGGGCTTTAAATTTGCAGATAGAAAATAATATGTCAATGATCTGAAAGTATTGTAGCCTATTCCATTTTCATTGGCATCATTGCTACTTTAATTCATCAATTAAACCAAGTTTGGTTTCATTTCAGTTTTGGAAAAATCATGTGTTCAGACATTACTATTAAAATGAACTCTAAATTTGATAATTGTCAATTATTTGCTTGAGCCCATTGGTCTTTCGTCAAACTTTTGGGTTTTTTTGCATTTAGGTAATTCAGTGGTGCACCCACCACAAGGATGATCCTCCTCCTCCTGAGGATGATGAGAACAAAGAGAAGCGAACAGATGATATTCCTGTTTGGGACCAAGAATTCCTGAAAGTTGACCAAGGAACTCTTTTTGAACTTATTCTGGTATGTGGGTATGTGTGGGGGTTTGTATTACAGAAAATCATCACAAGTCAGGAATCTACTAGGTTAAATACACTCATTTATTAAACATTTTTGGTTTTGGTTTTCTTTGGTCAACACAATAACACTGGATCTTTAATTTCAGGTAAATAAGTAGTTTGTTTAAAGTAATATACATGACTTTAAGTGGATTTAAAAAAAAATCTTAATTTAACTCCCTAATTTACTCTGTAGTAAAATGTTTCTTTTAAAATGTCTGAAGTTAGCCCTGAGTGGCTGTTGACATTTCATCAAATCCTTAAATTCCAGAAGACAATGTTTAAAATGGTTGTTTGATTATGAGGATTATATTTAAGGGGAAAAAAATCTCATTTACAGGCAGCAAACTACTTAGACATTAAAGGTTTGCTTGATGTCACATGCAAGACTGTTGCAAATATGATCAAGGGAAAAACTCCAGAAGAGATTCGCAAAACTTTCAATATCAAGAATGACTTTACTGAAGAGGAAGAAGCCCAGGTATTCTATAAAATTTTTTAAATAAAATAATCTGGTGTTTTTTAAGTAGTCTTAAGATGATGCACACATTATGTGTAACTGTCTATTTCACCTTATATATGTGTGTGACATGTTTCCTACTTCACTTTATGAAAGACTTTCTGGAAAGTTATAAATTTGTGTATATTAATACACAAATACACAGAGTCGTCATTTATGGTAAGGCACTTAATCAGGATCATACACTTAAAGCTGGAAGAACCTTAGAAGAGGGTCACATATACAGCAACCTCCGTCTTACCCTTGAGAAACTGAGGTACAGAGAAACTTGCTCTAGGTCATACTTACAATATGAGAAGAAGTACAGAAGAGAGGTAGGGTTTGAACCTAAGTCATTGGATTCCCCCTTTTCACTGTAAAATAAACAAACAAACAAATAAATAAATAAATAGATTGCTGTATTATATCGTTCAGTTTAATAATTTATTAAGTACCTATTTTAAAGTACATTTGTGAATGCAGGGGGAAATATAAAGCACTTTGTAAACCTTGAAGCAGTATTATATTGAAATGTAATCTGCTTCTTGTTAGATTTGAGAGAATTGGTCATTGGCTTTTAATGTTAGCTTTTTTTCTCCTTCAACTTCCATGATGAAATTATTTAAAAATTCCTTCTGTGTGAAGCATCTTGAGATTCTTAAACAGTGTGTCATGGATTCTTTTGGTAGTCTGAAGCCTGTGAACCCCTCCTCAAAAGAATTATTTTAAAATGAATAAAATATGTAGGGTTGCAAAGGAAACCAATTATATTGCCATAGTTATAAAAATATTATAAAAAGAAGTTCACATGATAAAGAGTGAAATATGTATAGCCTGGAGTACAATTTATACCAACATGATAACTGAGCAATTTTGAAAGACTTAATGAACTTTTGAAAAAGTAAAGAAAGCAAAAAAAAAATTCAGACTCTAAATTAAGAACCTCTAATCTAGATGATGATAAATTAATCTTTCTTAAATACGACTTATGTAATAATTTCTCTTGGGGGAAAAAATAGACTAGACTAACCCTTCTGGATTGGGTTAATATGGCATGCTTAGTTAGCCTGATTTATAAATTTATAAACTTGTCAAGATTTGTGAATAGAATTTTTCCTGGCCATATTTAGTATATGCACATTGGTCTCTTCAGGCAGGATTTACAGATATTTGGTACTTCACAATTGCTAGATTACTTTGTTTAGAATAATGTATATACAGAAGGTTGTAGAATGGATTTTACTGATACTGTGGCCGATTAAGGGCATGTAACAAAAAGCATAAACAATTTGAATATTCCATCCATTCCAAGTTAATTGAAAAGCTTTTTAAATGAAAAAATTAAATAGCAAAACTTGTCTAAAATGTCATCTCTTAAATGGCTATCATTGCTTCTTAGATAAACTAAATCTTTAGGCTTAAGACCTGTTATTATTTGACTCCTGCTTAGCTTCCAGTCTAATTTATTTTTTACTCTGCTGAAGCAGGAGAGAAAAGACTCTTGAGCCAGAAACCAAGGTTGTTAAGATTCTGGCCCTGTCAACCTAAAACCCTCACTGCCACCTCCCCAGATTTCCAATCTGTAAAGTATTTCTTTTCCTGTATGTAAATAAAAAGGAATAATTTCAAGCTTCTAAGAAAAGTTGCTGAATAAACTCAGGTTACTTGTGTGGTGATTTATGTAGCTAATAAAACTCTTAAACTCTTGTTTTTATAAATGAAAAAAAATTTTTTTTTAAAATTTTAGGTACGCAAAGAGAACCAGTGGTGTGAAGAAAAGTGAAGTTTTGTGCCTGTTAACACTGTAACACTGTAAGGATCGTTCCAAATAACTAGTTGCACTGCTCTGTTTATAATTGTTAATATTAGACAAATGCAGCAGCAAATCCGTTGTATTAGCAGGATATCGATCGTTCCCATTGCATGTGTAGTGTTTTTTGAGTCCAGAGTCTAATCCTATGGCTGTTTTAACCAGTATAATCAAAAGTCTTTTTACTTTTGTCTGAATAAAACTGAAACTGTGTGGGTTCTGTATGGAAAGTGGCACTTTTACTTTCCTTTTCTTATTTTGTAAAGCAGTTTGTCCAGTTACTGTCCAGCTTTGAACTTTAGTTTTCTTGCTATCTGACTTGCCCTTTAAGGAACGTTGGCATTGTAAATAAAACCACTTGCAAAAGTTTTCCACAATAGAATTAACAAAGTGTTATCTTTATTCCTGAGCTTGAAACAGGCAAAAGGCTAATTGAGGTAAATGTTTTGAATGATTTTTCTTCCTGGATGTTTTTTTCCAATTCCTCAGAGTGAAAAAGTAGAGAACTACTGGTGTAGATTTTTAGACTCACCCTGCAATATATAGCAAGCAGGCCTCCTGAAATTGGATGTGTCTGTTTTGAATGCTGTCAAGCTTGAGTGTTTTTTGCTCGCTGGAGGCCCAGTTACTAACCAGCAAGCAGCTTGTGGTTATTTGGCAGAAATGTGAACTAGATAAAGTTGTTAAGCTTTTCATAATTAAACAAGACACTTAATCCAGATGGTGTGGTGATCCTTTTATAATCAGTATTCCCATTTTGGGGGAAAAATTTATCTCACTACTTATTTGTGAAATGAGTTTAACTCAGTGTTTTAAAAAAGTTACCCATTGCAAATGTTAAAAAAACAACTAAAAGTTGATTTCAGTTATTAAGTACCTTAGTGATGGGGGATTTTAAAGTAGTGGTTCTCTCATGTGTTAAAGGTTGTGGGCTAATGGGTTCTGCAAGAAATATACCTCATCTGGGAGAGATGAGAGTTACAGAAGGCCACCATCACCTTTACGACTTTCCTAGTTATAAGCCTGTTTTTACCTTCTCACATTTTAGTGGGTAAGTATCTAGAGGTCTTTTTCATATCAGCTTTCTCACTGACCGCCAGAGTAGGGGGACTACTTTCCCCCTGTCTAATAGCTAGCAAATTGCTGCCTTTTTTTTTTTCAGTATCCAGAGCTATTCTCCTCAAAGGTCATTTTCCTTTATCTCCTCACATTTGTCCCTATCTATTTCAACTTCTCCCTTCCCTGATATTCTTTGGAATCCTCCCTTTGGCCCCCTCTATTGTTAACAGTTTCTTCAGCCGTGATCTTTTCTCATGTTTCTCTCATTTCCATATTAATTGATACCAGGCTTTTTCTCAAAGATAACACATGCTTTGCCTCTCTTTTTCTAAGCTTTGAATGTACCTCTCAAAGCAACATATATGCCAAGAAGAGACAACATATGTTTCAATCCTCTTCTTGCTGTAATCAGTCACTCAACAACCTCTCTTCTCCTTTGATATAACTCTAATCAGGTTATATGAACCCATTCAGATTTTTGTTGCTCATAGTTTACTGATGTGATAAGTTATTTTTCTTCACTTTTTGATGGATTCAGCCACTGGTGACTTAGTCGTCTTCATCCCAACCCTTGCACTTTTCCTTGGTGACATCAATATTCTTATTGATTTCTGTTGGAAGGACTTTTAGTAAGCCATTCTGACCAAGCTCTACTCAACCTTGCAATGCGTAGTCCTAGTTCAACATTCAAATGCCTAGGTCTTTTTTATGTGTACTCTTATCAACCTCATGACTCCTTTGAAAAAAATTCTTCACAAGTGAAGGACTTAATATTTATACTAGATTTTGACTCCTCTTTTAATCCTATTTGGAGTTCTGTTTTTTTTTTTAATCCTGGGTTGAGTATTCATAATGTTAGTTATTCTTCCTCAGCTTTTTGTCTTTTCCAGGTTTCATGATCATGCCATTTTTAATTTTTTTCCCATCATTGATAAGAATGTTAGGGCCAAGCATAGACTGATCCTTGAGCCGTTCCCCCAGAGACCTCCCTCCAAACTTAGCATTGACCCTTAATGTTATTAATGACTTTTTGAGTTGAATATTCAGCCCTTTCTAATAACTGTCTTCTCAGGTCTCTCCATCTTGTTTCTCAAAATCATGAGAGATTTCAAATACACTGTTGTAATTCAGATTTGCTGTGTCTGATAAGTAAGACATACCTTTCCAGTTTCCTTAATCATATCACAGCCACGTTATTGCCTATCTCCCAGCCTTTGCACTGGCCTTGTGAGCTCTCCCTCCTCACCTTTACTTGGTTTCCTTCAAAACTTAACAACTTAGTGTCAAGGGCTCTGTGAGAAATGTATTGATGCTCCTTATCTGGGAGATGGGAGCTACAAAGGTCGCCACCTTCTTCCCTAGCTACTACTGCAAGCTTCTGTTTTTGTCCTGTGTATGTTTACATGTATGTGTTCTCTTTCCTATTAGAATGTGAGCTCTTTGGTGGGGATTGTTTGTAATATAGCTCTCAGAATTTAGCAGAGTACCGGGTATATATAGGAGCTTAATAAATGCCTGTTGATGGAATTTTGAAAAAAGAAAAGATTTCAGTTTTCATGATATCTTTTTGATGCAACCGTGCCAGCAGTTTGTGGTCATTATTTCCTTTTCCATATGGTCACTGATACTTCCTTTAATATGTATTAGAAAATTTCCAGGAATTGGAGTCAGTGAGCTTGTTAACATATAGTTTGTAAATGAGAGATTTGCCCTCCTTCAGTCCTGTGGGCATATATCTTGTAGTCTAGAACATTACTGAATGGTTTAATAATATGTTTTTCTGGGCCAGGTGATTTGAACTCATGAAGAGTGGTTAGGTGTTTCTCTCTTGACATACTTTCAGCTTTCTGCTAATTGGTTTTTCTACTACAAATATCATTCTTGCCAAAGGAAATAAAAGCAAAATAAGTTTAATTCTGCCTTTGGATTAGTATATCATCTTCCCTGAGTTAGTGACCTTATTCTATGTGCTTGTGTGTGTGTATATGTATATGTGTATATGTATATGTGTGTGTGTGTGTGTGTGTGTGTGTGTGTGTGTGTGTGTGTATGTGTATAACTAAAATTGCTGATCATTCTAACACCCTGGACCAAGAGCTCTGTGTATGTTCACTTTTCTTTTCCTCTGTGCATTAACCAAAGGTACTATCTTTGACTTTCTCTTCTTTAAAATCAAATCCATTCTAAACCCTGCCTTTATGCAGATGATTCAGATCTGAAACTCCATCTGTGACCTCTTCTGCTCCAAAAACATTTCCGTGACTGCTGACCATTTGTGCCTTGTTGCTTTTGTAGCCTGATAACCTTAAACAATATATTCAAAACTCATGGATTCCTTCTTTTCCTCCTTGTTCCCATCCTTCCTGAAGACCGGTTTTTCTATTGACTTCCCTTTTCCATTATCTAAGCTGAAATCTCTGAATTTGTCTAATTCTCTCATTCACTTCATTCCCATTACTACTAGCTCTGGCTCGGCATTTATAATTTCTGCCTACATTATCCCAATTTCATTTTGCCTCTCAAGAGGTGGAAATTAAGGAAGGCTCTTAGGCCCTGGTAGCTCTGGTAGAAAGTCTGACCAGCAAGACTAGATTGAATAGGGATGTCAGTTACCACAGGAAGCAGGGGAAAGAAGTTCATTTTGGATCAGCTGGAGGGTAAGTGAAGTGTAGGTGAAAGGAAGGAGCTCAGGTAACTATTGTTCTTGTCTAGGTTTTATAGACAAGAGAAGTATATATGAGAATTCCGGAAAGTACACATCAGTGGAAAAAGAAGAGTCAGTGATTACTAAGATTTTCAAGTTAGTGTGATTAAGGTAATCCTGAGGTGAGTGAGAAAGAGAGGGAGAAGATAGAAAACTAAGGAGCGTTTTACTTTACATCTTCCCTGTATGGATACTTAAAACAGTTAAAGGCTTCAGTTTACATAGTTTATACTAGCTTAAGCAGTTGCTTTCAAATTACTCTTGAAGCCTTTATTATGTTATCGATTTCCATCCTACATCTACTTCCCTTTCATTAATATTTCATAGCTATGTTTATTTTAATGTTATTAAAATTCAGCAACTTTCCAACCCCCCCCCCCAAATACAGCAGCTTTCTAGCATCATCTATTTGTAGGCTCAAGGCACTGAGAAAACAAAGATGAAACGATGACATTTAATTTCATTTAAAATCACTTTCATAGTCTACATTTCAGTCAAGCTGAACTACTAGTTTATTTCCCATATTGACCTTCCATCTCCCATCTCTGTGCATAAGAAGTCCATGCCTTGAATGCTCATTTATGCCTTTCATAATATCTTTATCTTCAAACCTTAATGTCATTTTTTCTGATCGCTGTGGTTAGTGTTGTTCTCCTTCCTCAAATTACCTTGTATTCAGTTTGTTGCATGAAGTAAGTGGAGGGCAGATTTTTTAAAAAATGTCTTTTAATTCTCACAGCTTAGTGTAGTGCCTTGCATATCATAGTACTTCAATAATGTCTTTTGAGCTGAGTCATTGAATACTACAGGGCAGACTGCGGTAAATTACAAGAGAGGTACAGAGAAAAGTAAGTATGGTTGGGTCTTGGTGCCCTTAGGGAAGGGTTCATAAAAGAGCATCTGTGCAGAGCTTTAAAAGGCTGCTTGGATCTTGTGTATCAGAAATAAGGCACAAAAGTAGGAAATGAACCCCGGGAGGGTTTGGGGAGAGAGGGGGTGTTCCACATGGTAACAGGAGGATTGTTGTTTGGGAGGGATGTCATTGTCTATCATGGTTCCTCCAAATTGAAGTTTCCCTTATATTTCATCTGTGGATTTATAGATATATTGTTTGAAACTGTATATATTTTCAGTATGTCCTCACTTTTTTAAGGGTCATGGATTCCATAAATTACTCTGCCTACTACATTTTTCCAAGCTTTGGGGACCTTACATTTCCTAGTACCTAAAATTTGTTGAAGAACTCTGTTCCCATTCTTTTTCTTTTCTGATTTTTGTAGACTTCTATGATCGTTACCTGGAAAGGCCAAAAATCAATGCATTTTTGTAGTCTGTCTTCCCAGGGATTGTTCCTCTGTCTCTTGGGTTATTTTAACTTTCCTGCTTTGGACTTTTCCTACTTATTTCCCATTTTCCTGGAGGTTTCAGATTAGATCATATATAAGCTCTTGGGCATGGATAGCCCTACCCCAGATTTTTACAAAGGTAGTGTAATGATGTCTGTTTTGTTTCCATTCCCTTTCCTGCAGATTTCTGTTGGTTTTTCTGGCTGGCTACAGCTCATTGGGAAGTGATTTAAGATCACATGTACCTTTCTTGAACTAAGAAGTGGGATCCTTATTATAATTTTGAATCCTGGGGGTTTGCTTCTACTAATGCTGAGAGCATGCTTTAAATTTATAGCTGTATAGAATTTAGAGCTAGATGGCATTTTACATAGTATTTAGTCTAGTTTCCATCATTTTACAGAGCAGAAAATTGAGGCCAAGGGGGAGGTAATGTTGCTTAATTTGGTCACAAAGGTAACTAAGTAGAGCTGGGCTTCAAACTCATGTCTTCTGACCTCACGTTTAGTGATTGTAGTACACTGCCTCCATTGCCAACACTTAAAAATAATTTTAAATTTAGGTTGAATTAAAATTTTAGTGTTTTGCTGTATTATGATGCCACAGATTATATTTTCTAGGAAGTTTGAGTTTCTTGGGAAAACACCTAGAGTTGTTTTGTTAGTTCAGATGAGACATACTGCATGTTTTTTATACTATTATGCTACTGAAGGAGCTGGGATAAGAATTCAAGTACTCCGACTCTTAATTCATAGTGCTATGTACCATTTTATTATATATAGTTAGATTTGCCCTGGTATGATGTTATATCTTCAGGTCTATGAAATATGCCAAAGATACTGTTCTGCTGTGTTTAAACTGCCTGCCTGATTTATGTCCAGAAGGTTGAAGTTCTGGTCCCAGTCTCATTACCATTTGTGTGGGTAGAATGGGCTTTGATGTCTCTGAGTAGCTCCTGCCCTCATCCAAAAAGATGTCAGTTAACTGAGAAGCACTGTGGTCCTCAGGGAAGAAAGGTCTTGGGTAAGTGAGAATTGTGGTGATTTCATAAGACGATCTACTTGTAAAGTTTCCAGTTCCAGTCTTTGGGTAAGTTGATAGCTGTCACCTGTTAAACAAAAGGAATTGACTTTCTGAAACCTAAGCACACAAAGTTTTCCTTCATTCAGATGCAAACAAGTTAAAGATACGTTTTGGCCTTTTACTGTGTAGTGCATATTAAATCCCCTTGCTGTGACACATTTTCCCTTCAGGTGTGCATTAGAAATAATCCTTTTGTTTTACCCTGTTGTTTTAGAATTTGCTTCTTTCATTCTTTTCTTCAGGGGGCTCTTGTAAGATCGTCCCAACTAGATCCCCTCAACTTCTTTTTAGTCCAGTCATAGCTGAAGAGCCTCTCCAGGGGACCTATATCCAATTCTAGACTCCACTGCTAAAAAGAAAAGGAGGTAAAGGTTTAGGAGAGCCACAGTAATTGGCAGAGGGTTACAACATGGGGCTTAGTGTCACAAGATGATGAAATAAGGATTCTGTGAGGCTCAGGGTAATGATGGAGTAATTTGGCTTTTAGATGGAGATCCATCTTCTCTTTAGGAGGGAAACAGGGATCAGAAGACCGAAGTTAGACTCAAAGGAATTAATTTGAATTCCTCAAACCCCCGGTTTTTCTCTTCAGATGACTTTGCTTTCAACCTAATGTCCATCAGTTGTCAACTCTCAGCTTCCTTACTGTCTGTATCCAAATCTCTCCATCATTACTTCTGTAGTAATGCACCTCCCTCTCTCCCGAGTCAATCAACAAACATTTGTTAAGTGTTTACTTATATGCCTGGGTTCTAGGTTATCAAGCATGCTCCTAAGCACTGGGGATACAAAATATGGTTTAAAAACATCATTCTTGCCCTCAAGGAGGAGAGAGCATATAAAAGATTTGTAGTCTAAATAGAAAGTACTTTCAGAGGGAAAGCACTAGAGTGGGGAGAGAAAAGGGGAGATGGCAAAGGTCTCCTACAGAATGTGTGGTTTGAGTCTGAGTCTTGAAGGAGGTGAGGAACAAGAGCATTCCAGGTGTGGGGACAGCTACTGGAAATGAGTTGGGATGTGGAATGTTGTGTCCGAGGAACAATGGGACAGTGTGGCTAAATCGTAGAGTAAATGGAAGAAGGTAAAGTGTAAGAAATTTACTAATAAGATTGGGAACATTTAGTATTTTATCTTGGGGGAGTAATATGGAACCACTGGGAGTTTAAGGGAGTGACATGGTCAGACCTGTACCTTTAAGATGATTACTTTGGCAGCCCAGTGGAGGAGGAATTGAGAGTGGGTAAGGACTTGAGGGCAGGGAGACCAACCAAAAGAAGAATATTGGCTGTTGTCTATACATGAGATGATGAGGGCCTGGACTAGGTGAGTAGCTGTGTGAGTGGAGAGAAGAGGATGTAAGAAACACAATGGCAGGAACAAGAAGACTTGGCAATAGACTGGATGTATGGAATGAGTGTGAATGGGAAGTTGAGGATGACAATGAGGCTGTGAGTCTAAGTGACTGGGAAGATTATGATGCCCTCAACAGTAATAGGGAAACAATAGAATGTCAACTTCTTGTAGGTGGAGTTGATTTAATTTTTGTTTTTGTGTAGTGGGTGTTTAGCACAGTGCTCTGCACATAGTCTGTGCTTTAAAAATACTTTTTGATTGATCTGGAAAGGTCAGATCTCAGATGTGTCTTAGCACTTGAGTTATGCCAGCAGGAAAACAGAGCAAAGGAAGCAAACAACATTATCTTCAGTCGTGAAGAACCAGTGTATCCTTTGGCATCCAGGAAATGTGTGGTGTCCATTTGTAGCCCTTTTGAGAAAGAAATTCATTTGACAGTTTACGGGTGGGACACTTGATTTATGGTGTCAACATTTGAAAGTATGATTGAGCCTAGGTTGCTGCCATGAAATGGAAAAAAAAAACCTTATAGAAATTTAAATACAATGTCATTCACTTGTGGAGAGACTGTGAGGTTTTTGCACTGGCCAGAATACATCCCAAAAGCCAGAGATTTTGTTTTATGCTAACAAATATATAAAATAAAGTCTCAGATGGTGGGGCCAATGGCCTTTCCTTCTTCACCTAGATTTTGTTTTTTCACAATTTCATTTTCATGCTAATCCCAAAAAGATCTTCACATAGCTTCTATCATTTCTGCTTTTTGAAGACTCCCACAGGTGGATTTTAGAAGCATAGTTTCCCCATAAGAGATTAAATGGGAGTTACAAGGAATTTCTAACCCTAAATCACATAGTTATCTGTGACCATGGAGTTTGACTCCATGCCAGATACAGGTGGTCGAAAGAATAGACATGCTTTTCAACTGGTGCATTTTACCAAACTTTTATTGGCTTACCTTAAGGAGGTATGGCACCTCATCAGTATCTGCTATGAACTAAAGAGCTGCTAGCCTGCCCTTGTCAGGGAAAAGACTTTCTTACCAAAATAGATGGGAGTCAGGCTTCCTACAGCTGGTCCTAAAGAGCTGAAGCCCAAACTATAGCAGCAGAAGGAAGCTTGATAAACAACATATATTGGAGGCACAACACATAGCAGAGATGGGATGCTCACCAGAGAACAAATATGTGACACACAGCATAGAGTACCATGATGATGTTACTATGGGGCCTTGTTGGCCATGTGACATTGGTGGTGGGAAGTTACCTAGCCACATATCTCTTCTACATACATGGGTTCCTTATGGACTTCTTCATGAACACTCCGCTGTCATGCATGTTTTATGTGTGTGTTCCCTCCAACATTAGTTTGTAGTAAGTTGTGGGGGAGTGTATCATACATGTGCATAGGAGATCTCTTTTTTTTCCAACTTGGTATTTTATTAAATGTCTTTGTTTTCAAAAAAAAACCCAAAAAAACAGTAATAGGGAAGCTTGGAAGAGGGTAAGAGGTTTGGATGAAAAGAGAATTCTGGATGTGTTAAATTTGAGATGCCTATTTGACATCCAGTTGGAGATATTTAAGAGGCAGTTTAATGATATAGGACTAAAGCTCGGGAGAGAGATTAGAGCTGGATAAATAGATATGATAATAGCTTCTATAGAGATGATAACTGGAGGAAGAAAAAAGTTCTAGACCAAAACCTGCATTATGGACTGTTGGGTCAGGCAATTAAATTCAGAATAGCAGAGTCACCCAGAAGGGACCATAGAGATTATTTTCCAACTTCCCTCATTTTGCAGAGGGGTGAAGTGAGGCCCAAAGAAAGAAAGGGGCTTGCCTAAGGATGTAAAGGAGCAGTTAGATTGTGCAGTGGATAGAGCACTGGGTTTGGAATCGGGATGACTAATTTCCAAAAGTTCAAATCCAGCCTCAGACATTTATTAGCTGTATGACCCTGGGCAGGTCACTTAACCCTGTTTGCCTCAGTTTGTCATCTGTAAAATGAGCTGGAGATGGAAATGGCAAACCACTCCAGTATCTCTGCCAAGAAAACTCCAAATGGGGTCACAGAGAATTGAACACTACTGAAACATCTGAACAACAAAAACAAGATTGTAAAGCTGGTTAATGGCACAGCTGGGACTAGATCGCAGGGTTCGTGATTACTCAGACGTGCTTTGTTACAGCACCATTTTACTGTGTATGCAGTTAAGAGTGGAGGTGATGTATGAGCTATAGTATCTTTGAAGCCACATAAGCGCCACCTTCCAGTGGTCATCCACCTCTTGTATCTTCAGTCTCTTCTCTCTGTTGGCTCCTCCTTTATCTGTGGATGTTTAATAAGTCTCCTAAGTCCTCAGATCTTACTCAACCCCTCAAACCACCATACAATTTTTCTTCTTCTCTTCTGGCTTTTCTTCCCCTCAGTCTTCTGAAACTGCTCTAAGGTTACAGTCACTTCTTAGTCATCAAATCCATGGTATTTTTTCTTAGATCTCTGTCCCTTGCAAATTAGATTAGCATTGTCACCATTTTACCATCATTTCCTTGGCATACTTGCCCTTTGGTTTCTATGACAATAATCTCTCTGACTTGTTACTTCTTTCTTGCCTTTGCTAGTTTTCTCTTCCAGTCTTTTATCTGTATATGTTTCCCAAGTACCTGCCCTTAACTTTTCTTTCCCAGCACTCCTTTTCTTGGTGATCTCATCAGTTACAGTGGTCTTAACTATTACCTTTCTGTAGCTGTAAGTCTACATTTCAGTGTTTTTCTCACTCCTGGGAGAGACTTACCTACCAAGCTTGCTTGGACTCTCATCTTTAATATCTTTCATCTCGTCTTTAATATCTTTCATTTTTAAAGTTGTGATTTTTGACTGCCAAACGAAGGCCAAATTTGAGGCCTCTACTTACTGGACATCTATGGATGGCCGTACTTGCCAGCATATCCTGTTGTGCACTTGCATATACCACCCCAGAAATTGGTATTATAACCTCCAATAGCCCATTCCCAATAGACAGCTTTCTCATAGATTGCTTTATTTATAAAGCTAAACATAAAAGCAAAAGAAGTTACAAAGTCAATGAAGATTTTTTAAAAGTTACAGCACATGATGGATAATTGTTGGACCAGTTGCTCCAAATGCTAAATATTTATCCCTGCTACATACAGTGATTTTATTTGGTATGATATGGTTTTGCAGTGACTTTCACTTTTATCACATTTTAAGAAGTAAAATTTCTATATGAAAATAATTGAAACTGTATGAGAATTAAATTCTGGCTACTAATCAAACATGAGCTATGAAAATGATTTGTGATAAAATAACATTTTGGATAGCTTCTGGAAAAGGATCTGGGGGAGCTAATAAAACAACAGGGCTTAGATTTTTGCTTTGGATATTATTGTACTATGTTACAAATGATTTTATCTCACTTTCCATCAAATTATTTTTCCCCAAAGGAAAAAAAGAAAATATACTGTCTACATTAACACCAAGCACATGTATTATTAGTTCAGATAAAGCTAGAGGGGTTTGTATCAAAATAGATTGGAAATTGTTCTCTACTGCCTATTGGGTCCCAAAATGCAGCCAGTGTCTTCTCCCAGGCAACCCGACTGGTCTTACTCAGTTCCCTTTGCAAAAAGGCCACCATGTGGACCTTGTTC